TTTTTTTTTTTTTTTGATACAATAGAGGGTTAATTATTTGACAACATAAAAGTTCAAATTTTTTACTTTGATGCCAAATCAAGATTTTTAAATTAATAGATAGTGACTCAACAAAACTCTGGTTAGTATACTATACCTTAGTGACTCAACCACTACCCTGTTTTCCAACAAACCTACTCTGCAGGTAACCTAATAGAATCATTATGTGTCTACGTGCTTGTCAGTGTGAACTTTAACTACATTCTTGGAAAGGAAAAGTTCACCTCTAAAAACAAAGATACAGATAGAAAACGAACACAGATACAGATGGAAACAGTGAAATCAATACTCACTACTTGGATTTATGAGTGGTTGGACGGAGACCCGAGCCTGCCAATTGCCGACCAATTGTGCCAAAATTGGGATTTGCAATACCGAAATTGAAATCCTGCATGCTTTTCATTTCAATGATTTCACTTCCAATTCAGACAGAAAAGATAATTTTTATATATTCTAATTACAGATAACGAACAAATTAAACAACTGAATAAATTTATTAGTTTAATTTTAAGAAAATATAAGAAATATCCCTACACAAACAAAAACCAGCCACCAAAAACCCTAACAGAAACAAATCATTTCAGAAAATATACGGTAGATTTTGGAATTACCAAAATGGAACAAGAAACATAGAAGGAGTTAAGAGTTAAAATCATAATAATTCATACATAGATAAAAGAGATTTGATTCCATATATAGGACCCAGTTGGGCGAGAATCTCAGATGAAATTGGGGAAGCAGAGGTTGGACTCAACTAGATCTCTTCCATCCGATTTCAGAATCAGAAAAGGAGAAAGAAGGGTTTTATTGGCACGTGCTATTCAGGCCGCATGTGACTTACCTGGTCATGTCAGGTATACACAAACGGAATGTTCCAGCTCAGCCTGGCCTTCCGTCAGTGCTGCTAACACAGAATCGAAGGAATGTTGAAGAAATCTGAAAATTAAGTTGACGATCTCTTCCTCTGGATCATATTCGTTTCTTCACTTCAATTCAACCTCCAAGAATCAATGAAACAACAGAAATTGTTTCCTTCAATGATAGAAAAGAAATTGGAAAACAAATAAAATAAATAAATAAATAAAGGAGATAGCGCATGAGAAGAAATCTACATTCTTAAAATTAGAATTGAATACTTAATCAACACCTTACCCTTAGTCATCATATGTATTTCAAGAAAGGTTGAAGTAGGTTCTTATGATCCCACTCCACTGATTCCCACCATTCTTTTGACTCTTCATCTATCTGGATTTCTTTGAGACGAGGAAGAGGAGATGGTTGGCCATTATCAAGCAGGGGAAGCTGTACTGGGATCCTCTTTAACTCTGGACATTTCAACATTTTAATTTCTTCAACAGAATCACAAACCACAACTCGTTTGGCACTGCAGATGTTCTTCAGTTGGGGTAAATTGCTCAAGAGCAATCTCCTTAACTTGGGAAAAGTGAATTTATCCGATGATGCATCTGAATCTGATAATGCTATTATCTCTTTCAATTGTTTGCACCAATAAACATCAATCTCCTCTAAGTTTTGGAAGGCCTGCAGCAGCTCAAGCGGAAACAACTTCCTCAGTCTTGAACAAAACCAAACACGAAGCATTTTAAGATTGGAAAAGACGTGTAGTGGTGTTGCTACTCCTTCCACTCTCATAAGTACACTCAATTTAGGCAAATACCAAAGAAACAGCTCTTCAATCTTCTCCAGTACTGGACAGGAGGATGAGTCCAAGTGAACCACACACTTCATATCTTCACAATCCCTAATAACACAGTAACTCAACTCGGTTGTCTTTTCTAACAAAACTGCTTTGTTTAAGCTACTTCTCATGTTTTTACACTCCTCGATCACCAAATTCTGAAGGTTATCTGGAAGCACTATGCATTCTTCTCCTAAGTCGCAATTATTAATATTAACCACAGGTTTCTTTTGGTCAATTCCCGAGAATTGATCTCCTACTACAATCTTGTAGTCAGTAAGAATTTGGAAATCTTGAGAGTTGACAAAATAATTGTAGCCTTGTATGTCATAGAATACACCTTCAAAGGTCTCCAACTTGCTCAATCTTGCAATCTCTTCTCCTTTTATCTTCAATTCTCCATAAACTAACAAGTATTGGAGATTGGAAAGGTTTGATAACATTCCCATTGGAATCTCTTTTAGATTGTAACAATTACTTAAATCAAGATATTCCAAACTAATCAATTTCTCCATGCCTTCAGGGACCACCTCAATCTTGGAACTATACAGATCTAACTTCTTTAATGCCCTAAGCTTTGCTAAAGAAGGCAGATACCTTAACCTCTTACACCACTTTAACCTCAGGGAAGAGAGCTTCTCCAAGTTTGAGATGGAATCAGGTAAGGCTTCAATATTAGTATTAGAAAGATCAAGAACCTTTAGTTCAGGCATCCCTTCAAAGAAGGATTCTGGGATCTCTAACAATTTATAATTATTTGACAATATCAAAGTTGAAAGAGTTGGACACTTTGGGCACAACCCAAGGGGAATTTTTGATATGTTGTTCAGCATTAGAGACACTTTCTTAAGATCATTTCCCCACCCACGCTCATTTGGTACCTCTATCAATTTCATACCAGCTTTTACCATATATCCAGATTCAGGACCAATGCTTTTGATAGCCATATCTCTTACTACATAATGCATCTTAAAAACATCACCACTACAATCAACAGCTTTCTCTAATAAGCAATTCTTTACTAGCCTATTTAAAAAAGCATGGCCCCTCTCATAAGTTGATTTTCTACTAGCCAACCCATCAATTAATCCTTCATCAATAAACCCTTCTATCAACTCTTCTCTTAAAAAGGAATAATCTTCGGGAAACAAGCAGCAATAAAGAAAACAATTTTGGATTTCAAAACTATTCAAATAATCATAACTAAATCTTAACCTCTCAAATATCTCTTTATCTGAGCCATTCACACTCTTTACCTGTTCCCGCAATTCAGTCAAGGCATTATTCCACACTTTAACATCATCTTCTCCCTTCATACTCTCTGCTATCACAACAATGGCCAGCGGTCAGCCACCACACTTCTTCACAATGAGCTTCAGGATTTCTTGTAAATTTGGAACTAGTAGAACATGACGCCCAACTTTATCTGAAAATAAGTCGAGAGACTCCTGAAATGAAAGAGGTTCCACCTTGATTATCTCACAGCCCATTCTTTGGCACACCTCAATGGATCTACTAATGATAACTATTTTGCTTCCATTCTGAGTTGTTGGTTCTGGAATTCCCACTTCCTTGAGAGAAAACTTTTCCCAGACATCATCTACGATTAGCACGGATCTTACTTCTTCCATAAGGCTCATCAATTCAGACGCTTGCCTCTCTTTATCCCCACCTCCTCGGAGTCCCTTTCGGTCATCCAGAACTACAGCACGAGCAATGTTTTCTTGTAATTTGCTGACATTGAGTGGGTAAGACACAGTGACCCAAATCACTCTATCAAAATCGGTCACTCTCAACAATTCATTATAAATATGCTTCATGATGGTAGTCTTCCCAACGCCACCAATCCCACAAACTCCAATCTTTCCAACCTCATTGCCCATTAAGTATCCCCAAATTTTTTCTTTTGCAAAATCTTCACCCACTACATTCTCAGTTGGCAATATGATTCCTCGGGTTGGAGATCTATCAATTGTGACTATGAGACCATCAGCAAAACTGCCTTGTTCATAGATTATCTTCACCATCTCAATTTTCTTACAAACAAGTTTCCCAAGACGGCCTTTTGAGTACCACTTAACTCTTTGAATCTTTTCTTGAATGGCTTGCAATTCATTATTGAATTCTTGTACATGTTCAAGCCAGCCTTGCACTTCATGTTTTACTTCCTTTCTCCAACCAGCCTCAGACTGTATGCTTAAATTTATATCTTCTTTTCGCCTGTTTAGAACTTGCAATTCTCTTCTCAGATCACTCATAGCTTCATCAAAATTTAAGTGATAATCTAGATAAGTGCAGGTTGACCTCCCCATATACTTTACCAATTCCATGATAGGTTGTACTAGAAACGCCATTGAAAAAGGCCCTATAAAATGAAACACAATGTGTATTAAAATGTATACAACAACTTCAAAAACAATGCAAGATAGGAATAGCTTAATGCTTAATAGGATGAAAAAGTGAGGCTAAAAAGGAGAGGAAAAATTGTCACTAGCTGTTTTCATCACTCAGCATGTCATATAATTTAATTTGCATTCAGTTATTTATCTGTTCAATTAATTTGTAAAAAATTATCTGATTAAAAAGATGGTTTCGAAGGAAGATGTAGTTGAGTGACTTGATTAGAACTGTTACTACGAGTTTGATTATAACTGAAAAAAAGATAATATATGCAAAAAGCGAATAAACAAACGATCAAGTAATGTAGTTGATGGGACGAAAATGGTCTAATAAATTAATACAATGATTTATATATAGAGAGAGAATATTGACCACTGCATTCATCAATTTAGAAACTTTTACAAATATAATACATGAGTAGGGAAAAGATGGCAGATATTGTTACATGTATCCAAAGACCTAAATAAAATGAGTAGGGATAAGTCACACTTGTAAGTCTTATGTAAATTTTCAGTCACTCACTTCAAATTTTAGATAATTAATGCATAAGGAATAATATAATTATAATGTCACCTGACATTAAAACTTATAACATAATATATTCTTATATGATTGGCCTTTTTCAATTAGAGATCCACTCAAAATATTGTATATATCCATTCTTTTAATAGCACGTCACACTAATTTAATGTTTGGTCATAATTGTAATCATGCAATTTTACATGACATAGTAAATATAGCATTCCCATTAATGCATCACTTATAATGTTTGCCCCTAAAATTTGAACTAGATATGTTTAACTTGAAATCTAAAGTTTTTATAAATCAAGCGTGTGAATTGATGAGCTTCTATTTATAGATAAACAGAAACAATTTAAAATTTGAGGAATCTAATGAGAAAGAAGCTTCTTTGCTAATAAGGTCATGCCATCCACAACAAAATTGAGACATTTCTATTTAATATACATAGAGAACATAACAAAATCAGGATTGAAGAACTAGATAGATGGTGTACCTGCAGGATTAGCAGAAGAAATTAGAGGAAGTTGAGATACTAGTAACAAAATCAGGCCAAGCAAAAATTAGATGGAGCTTAATTGCAATTGAGGCGGATAAGGAGAAGAGAAAGCGTAAAGCAAACAAGTCAATGACAGTGTCAAGAGATATTTCTTGGAAGATGCATGCCAAATACCTGTGAAATGAATATGCGGATGGTCAAAGATGGGTCTGACGTTCACACGGATTACTGAAGCATGATTCAGCTATAAAATTAGTTGTTAAGTAGCTATTATAGACCAGATGGCAGTATAAAATTATAAATCTCAAAATAATGGTTAATTTTAATTTTTTAATTAAAAATTTAAAAATAATTTTTAATATTATAAATATAATATCACATAAATTATAAATTATAATGATATTAAATAAATATAATTATAATATATTCTCAAATGAATAAATATATATTATTATAAATTGACTCTTAAATAAAAAAAATGATTACATATCGACATATGATAAATATAAAATTTTTTTAAAAGATGTAAGAAGAGACTTAATTTATGATATTATAGAATAATTAATTAAAATAAATACTCAATAATAAGTTAAAATAAAAATTTTACATTATAAAATAAAAAAAAATAAAAAAATTAATTTTAAATAAATTTTAAATAAAATAATGACTATTATTTTGAAGGAAATATACTAATTAATTACAACCTTTGGGTCAAGATCATAAACGCAAGCCAAAGACGGTAATTGTGCAGCAAATATTTAATAATACTCCATCAGCATACGTTGAAAGAAATGTACAGTAAAATGCAAGGACAAGTAGAAACCTAAGGCTAACCGCCATCTCTATCTCCTAGGAAGAAATTAGGAGCTGATGGATCTGAATTGGCAGTGTGAAATCACTACATTGGTAGAGAGGCCGATTTCTGCAAAAAAAAGGGATTGTTCCCGATTTTGAATACTTGGAACGTTTTGTAGTTTGTACCGAAAATTAGGCAACCCTCCAAATCTGTCCTCAAATAGAAAGTTAGAAATAGGTCTATCCTTAGAAAAATAAAAATAAATTATTATTTTAAATAACTTATTATTTAATATGTAACTATATTGCATGTTAGCTTTTTATTAAAAATATTTAAGAGACAAATAAACTTTTAACTTATGATGGTATTATATGTTAAATAATAAATAATTTATTTTTATTAATAATTAATTATTCTTATTATTTTTTAAGAATGAATCTATTTTTACCACCTTATTTGAAAATATATCCATCCTAGAAAAATAAAATAATAAAAATTTAAAAAGTTAATTCCTCATTTTGATCCCTCTATTTTGATTAAAAATCTTTTTTTAGTCCCTATACTTAAAAAAACTCTTTTTTGATCCCTAAAGTTTGAAATTTGACCCTTTTTTTGTTTCTCCATTAAGTTTTACATATGTAGTACGTTAGATAATGAAAATTTTAAAATAGAAGAACTAAAAATGGGTTGATACAAGGCTAAAAAAAATCTCAATTTGATCCTTCTATTTTAAAAAAAGGTTGAAAAGAGGTTAAAACTAGTCTCAATTTGGTCCTTCTACTTTAAAAAAAAGCTTTTTTTTATTCTTTTATTTTAAAATTTTCATTATTTAACGTCAAAATTTAACAAAAGGATTAAAAAGAAGTTGAATTTCAAACTTTAAAATCAAAAAAAAAAAATTTAAGTAAAAACACTAAAAAAAATTTCTACTAAAGTAGAGAGATTAAATTGGGTTTTAACCAATTAAAAATTAAAAACAAAAGCACGGATACACATAAGAGCCAAACCAGTCCGTGACATTTTTCATTTCTTTTTGTGATTAAATTATCAAATGGTCCCTCTATTTAAAAAATAAGTTCATTTTGAATCATCCATTTTTAGTGTTAATTTAATCCTAATACTTTAACCATTATATCCTAAAAAATCCAGTAGTAGATCTTAACACCATCAACAATGAACTAAAATGCATTCGTATCAATTGTGTTACTATACAGGAGGGTACCAAAAAATACCGTAAATCATTTCGAAATTGTTAGTATTATTTTTATATAAATTAAATAGTTCAACAAGTCAATTTTAGTAAAGCAAATTTTTTTATCTAATAGTAAAATAAATATATAATAATTAATTAATAAAATTTTATATTATCTCT